ATCCACATAGCTGTGGCGTATTTTCTCATTTCAAAGTCTCTCAAGTAACAATGATGATCATGGGCACTAAATATTTGTCTAGAGAGTGTATTACCCAAACTAGTTTGCGCGATGACTGCGAAGCCAGCAATCGTTTACAAGGCCACGCTTGGTCGCTCAGTCGTGGTACGGTTCGTTAGGTCTGCCGCTCAGCCGTGATACGGCTATTTACGTCTGCCGCTCAGCCATGGTACGGCTATTTAGATCTGCCGCTCAGCCATGGTACGGCTATTTAGGTCTGCCGCTCAGCCATGGTACGGCTATTTAGGTCTGCCGCTCAGCCATGGTACGGCTATTTAGGTCTGCCGCTCAGCCGTGTTACGGCTATTTACGTCTGCCACTCAGCCGTGGTACGGTTTGTTAGGTTTGCAGCTCAGCCGTGGTACGGTTCGTTAGGTCTGCCGCTCAGCCGTGTTACGGTTCGTTAGGTCTGCCTCTGTTTGTGTAAGTCTTAGAAAACAGTGGTCAGGAGCGCAAGGTCGACAACCTGACTACGGTTCTTTGGTTTGGGGCTTCTATGACTTGGGCACGATTTTACCAAGATGGTCATAGTAAAACAGCGCTAGGCCTGGGCACAAGTATTAACAGATGGAAGCATCGATGGGACCTGGGCACACTTTCATACAGATGGCAATAGTGAGATACCGCTTGGACTTGGACAAATTAAATTGCGGATTTAAGCCGGAACACTGTCTGCCTCGTAGGAGTCTGACAATTACATGCCAGGTCAAATCCCCACACAATCATTAAAAATAAATCGTTCAATCATTCAAATTAAAGCAAAGTTCCATAATACTAAGAACAAATGGAAATATCTTATATTAATACAAGCAAGGGAGGGAAAAAACTTGCTTGATTCACGTGCGTTTACGAATAAGTACGGAAATTTAATGTATGTTCGTTAGTAACAGTAACTCGTTAAACAATTCGGGATGCAGTTCCATGGCTCCAGCTAAACCTATATTATCATTAACTAAGATAAATTTAAAGAATTTTTGCTAATTTGGTTGATGCAGTGCCAGATGATAACGCGGACATGAGTGCAGCTGAGGAGTAACTGTGTCAGCGATCGATGAATGGATTTAAGAAGCCTTGCAGTTTCAATGACATCATCATGGTTCACAAGACCGAACATAAACTCGGACATCGTAATGTTACACATGACGCTACATAAAATTAGACATTGTAAGAGCATACAAGACGTTACATAAAATTAGACATCGTAAGAGTACACAAGACGCTACATAAAATTAGACATCGTAAGAGTATACAAGACGCTACATAAAATTAGACATCGTAGGAGTATACAAGACGCTACATCAAATTAGACACGTAGGCCTTACACTTGTAGGTTTTCGTTTAGGAGTATACACGACGCTACATTAAATTAGACATCGTAGGAGTATACAAGACGTTACATAAAATTAGACATCGTAAGAGTATACAAGACGTTACATCAAATTAGACATCGTAAGAGTATACAAGACGTTACATCAAATTAGACATCGTAAGAGTATACAAGGCGTTACATCAAATTAGACATCGTAGGAGTATACAAGACGTTACATCAAATTAGACATCGTAAGAGTATACAAGACGTTACATCAAATTAGACATCGTAGGAGTATACAAGACGCTACATCAAATTAGACATCGTCATACCTCACCAGACACTATATAAAAAATAAGAGCAGCATTACATGAACACGGCGGGAGGTAAATATCAGGCAAATGCTTCCATCTATGAAAACAATTCCGAGTAGAATGATGCTACTTTTTATATGATGAAATAAAAATATATAATAAATTAAAAATCATAATCAAAAGTCCAACTTCGTATATTCTTGTCTTAATTAATATTGATTTAATTGAAAAGTTTTTCAGTCGCGGAACCAACAGTGCAGACAAACAGGACCAATAATATAATTTATTTACCCGATATTACAAGAACAAAATATTACTATTATAATTAAGTTTATAGATAAGGAAATATTCAAGAAAAGGCACGTTGGTCAGCGCCTTGGCATACCAGAATGCCTTCACAGAAAGGCCATCAAGGCGAGGTTGGTTGCTGATGCTGTGGCGCGCACGGAATGTCGAGCCGATGGCTACAGCTGGCGGGGCCTGATTTAAAGACTGGCCTTGCCTGTATTTCTGCTATACGACTTCTTGTTTATAGGACTGGTCTTGCCTCTATTTCTGCTATACAACTTCTTATTTATTATGCGGTAAGACTGGCTACGTAAACCTGCCGGCTTGGCCTTGAATAAGAATGCTTTAGAAAGGAGGCGAAATCATCGAATATCTTTACGTTGGACAAATTCAGTGAAAGTTTATTCAGTAAGGTGTTGAAATTTAAAGTAGGATTGAATTACTTTAATACTTTGTGAAAAATTAATTTCTATTGTTGTAATGCGTTAGTTGACGTATTACATTAGGAGTTATAACATAAATCATCCACGCGCAGCGTTATTTAACAGTTATTTCGAAATAAATCTGAATACCACACACCAACTTAACGCAGCATTCAATCTGTACGCGGTTTCCCGTGTGGACGTAAATGTTATTGAAAATTATTTAAGTAATTTCATCGTCGATATTAAGTAAAATATGTAGAAAGTAAGTCGACGTAAGCAGCCCAGACTTGCATTCTCGAACTTATATTGACACAATATCTTCATGATAACGTACCTAATTGTTCTTCTTTCATTGCATAATTGACGACCGGGAAAGATTTATTACTGTTTACAGAAAACAGTGACGAATTTTCAAGAAGCGATCAGGCTACTTGATTACTTACTGATTACTTGAGTCAATTATGACGGATGTATGTGGTGTGGAGTTGAGATAATGATATGATGCATTTATTAATTCACTAGGAAAATGAAAGGAGAAGAATGAGAATAAAATGAAACATGTTCACCTTTGGTCGTGGCTGGAAAATAAATAATGACAATTTGAACGAGGAATTTGAAATATATCTTCTACACCAATGATTCCTCCTCAATTCATGCTAGCTTCGTTTCATAGCCATTGCAGACATGCATGCATTCTTGACATTTAACAGTATCGCAAAAACGGTGGCACGTGAACTGAGCTTTGTCGTCGTAATTGATAGGAAAGAGTGCATCTTGCACATTGTAAATATAATAAATAGCATTTGATTATCGCTGGAACTTATAGTGTCATGTCGGCGAGGATCTGATCAGCTATAATTGTGTGCGTGATTTTTTCAACAAGCAAATTCGTGATAAAAAACTAGAAGGGTTAAGCCGTTTTATTTGCGTTCAAATCATCGAAATAAATAGAGAAATTCTCTAAGAGAATCAAAAACATTTCAGTGCTGGGGCGCATGTCAGGATGCAGTCGCGTCTGATGTTGAAATATATTTTCAATTTTCCTAATGTTTGTTTGCATACATGAGAAAGTAGTAACCCATAAGATTTGTATGCCGGCAAATGTACGAATTTTTTTCTCTACTGCTGTAAAAAATTTCATTAAATGCTCTGACCCATAAGTAAAATGCCTTCATCAACTCTTCAATTTGGATTTTGATTGGCTCAATTAGCACGGCGAAATGGCTAATGTATAAATGTATTATGAAGTGAGTTTTGGGAACATTTTTTATGGAATCCACACTGTGGGAATTGTTCCCTTTAAAAGCAAACGTGGAGATGAACACGCACGGCGGAGGAAGTCTGATAAGAAACAGGAAGTGCCACAGGGGGCGACTACAGGGCTCGGCTGGTGCATACGTACACTCAGAGACATAAATGACGCACTGGCCAAAACACGATGCATGTTTGTTCCTGTGCTGCCTTTAGGAGGTGTGTCACTACTATGTAAAATATGACCCATTAGTTTTTCTGAGTGTTCGGCTGCAGCAGCGACCAAAGTCTGGCACAATTTAAACGTTAATTCTAAGCATCCGAATGAATTTTTTCAAGATAATATCGATACAATTGTAATTTAATTAGCAAGATTTAACAGAACTGAAAAATTAAAATTAATTTAAAATAGATATCATCATCAAAATGCGTCAGAGATCAGCTCCATCATCCAACCAAAAATGTGGAGAAATTATAAAGAACTGATGACTTATTTTTTAAATAATGATGAGGCTGGCAAAAGAAACGTTTTCTTGCAATTCAAGCAGACTATTGATATAAGTTTTCTCAATCGTCATTGATGATAGTGAATGAAATCTAATTATTTTAATTGGATGAAAGGCAAATCGGTAATATTCAATGGTAAGATGTTTCGAGTGTTTCTCATTAACTGATAAATTGTTTGTTATATATTTAGATACATATAATGATTTTTAAGCATTCGTCGCAAGGCAAGTAAATTCTTCCTGACTGAAACCACTGACTGAATTAATACTAATTACTGACCGAAAAACCACTGCTTCAAGACATTAGCGCTAGAAATAACAACATTTCACGGGATTCTTTTCAAACGAAATATTTGAACTCACAAAATATACTCTGTTAGAGCATACCGGCAGAGGGTAAGTCTCTATGACCCTCACTTGAACAATTAAGGAAAGAGGGCGTCTCCCTCGTCGAACGCTGAAAGGGAAAACCATTAGTGAGGGGAAGTGCCCTCAGACGCGCCAGGGATAATTTAGAAAAAAATCGTTTTCGAAACGAAGAAGTCACACGTCAAAGCTGTAGTAATAACTATAAATAGCAATTAGTAAGATCTACACGACCGTGTAGCGTTCCTTCTGTAACTGTACAAGGAATCTTGTAGCGGTAAATTTTGTCGAGGTTTTCGCAAATTTCCGACATTAAAAAGTTACCAAAAGAATTAAAATCAAGATCAGTTTATAGCAAAAAATGAACCTTCGTTACTAGTTAGTACGATTTATTTTATTTTCATTTCATTAGTAATTAGTACGATTTATTTTATTTCCATTTCGTTAGTAGTTAACACGATTTATTTTATTTCCAGCTTACCTGAGAAGTTTCTGTAGGTATCTTTTCAACGCTTGGATGTGTTTCTTCAGAATCCGAGTATTCATCACCAGACCTGGAATTCAACCCATTACATGAGTTGTATAATGCGATGTTAGCGTTATAGTCCAATGCGCTCGCCCCATTACCATTGCTCATTCCTTGGATCGCAGATTCGGAACTGCCTACACATGATTGCAGTTCGTTATCAGTAACGCTGGGCTCGTCAAAAACATCGTCGGAGGATTCAGAAACGTTACGCAAAAATGCTGATTCTAAATTATTTGAATTTTCACTTAATGTTGGTCTAGACTCATTAACATCTTCATTAGGGTCCAGTTTTTCATCTGTAATGCTTGTATGTGGTGCGGTAATGTCGTTACTTGAGGCGTCATTTGAAATATGAATCGCTGCGTCGAAGTCAAATGAATTTTTATTTTTGTCCTGAACGTCACAAGTATTCTTGAAATTTATCGCATCCAAAGTTATCGAATTAGATGTTGCAACGGCCACGTGATGACGCGTTTCTACTGGAGACAGTTCTTTTTTGAGACCATCGTTTTCGAGAACAAAGTCTACATTCACAGGTCCTTCGTTGTGCTCCAATTCTTCTTTTTTAATTGGTTTACAATTGTTAAGCACCGATTCGTCGGGATTTCTTGGGCACAGTTTATTTTCTACTTCTCGTTGCCTAAGCTCCTTCTTTTCAGGCACTCGCGCATGATTTTCCTCTAATCCCTCATGCGGGTTCTCCCCGGAGCAATGGCTTGATAATTCTTCCTTTGCTACAGAGTAGTCGACTATACATGAATGTTGAAAATCATTCATGGAATCAGAATTTTGAATATTCACTTGATCATCACGACCATCTTGAGATTGTTGATGCTCAGGTTTAGTTTCATCGAGACTTGGTCCATTTGTTATATTTTGTTCTTGTTTGTTTTGGCAAGGTTTCGTCGTGCTGCTTTTCCGTCTGTTGTTGTGTGGATTTTTCACGGGTTTACCGTCATTCTTATTACCTTGCTGGTGTGCTGATGTACCACTGTTTTTCGTGACACTACCACTGCGTTTACGTTTGCTTTTACCCATTTTAAATTCACTGAAGGGAAAAGTTCGGAACATGAGTGCAATTCGTCAAAATGAGCACAATACTCTAAAAATTTAATTTAATTATCGTATCAACTTGTCTCACTAATGAAACATTCGACTAGTGCGAACATCAGGCCAGTGCAAACGTTACACTAGTGCAAACTTCAATCTAGCGCAAACGTTACACTAGTGCAAACTTCAATCTAGCGCAAGCGTTACACTAGTGCAAACGTTTCACTAATACGAAAGTCACTCTAATGCAAATGTTATACTAATATAAACATTACACTAGTGCTAACGTTTCACTAATACGCAAGTCACTCTAATGCAAATGTTATACTAATATAAACGTTACACTAATGCAATGGTACAATGGTACGATCGCTAGATTACAGCGAACTTTACACAAGGTGTGCGAAAGTTACGTTTGCGAAAGTTAGGATTGCCGGTATTATTAGACTAGCGTTATAGCCTATGTACATGACCACAATATCCGTTATCAACGCTGCAGGCTAGAGACGAGCGGTCGAATCGGAGTGACACTTTTAACACGTAGCTTACTTATCTAATCAAGTTATGATCCTCTAATACACTGTTTTACCATCAACTAGTTGCTGATATGAACTAAATAAAAATATATTTTTATCAAATTAGTATTTGATAATTAATAAATAGTCTCGAAATCTGTCTCTCCATGCACCTCTTGAATGAGAGCGCCTAATTGTATGATAATGACAAGATTTATCGAAAAAAGTAGACATTGTGGTTTATTGTAAAACAAATTTGAAGATAGAAAACAGTCCTTAATTTTGACGTGCGAGTTTTAATTTTGGTAGCCAACTGCTACGGTTCTTTCGGGTTAATTGAAATCATCAGCGAAATTTCCTGGAAATCGAATTACACATGAACATTAATTTCAAATATTAATTTGAATATTGCTTATAGTCACAACGAAAAAATTTTATATACAAGCAACATTCTTGGGGGCAACCGCGTGATATTAAGTCAAGTATTTCTCAAGTGTCAAGAATGCAGCGACAGTCACGTGCACTGGCTGCATATTGGCTGCCGAAGACAATCTTATTTTTGGCCGCACATTCTTGGCAGATTCATGACGATTATTGGCACAAGGCCATGGTACGCTTCACGTATTAGTGCGTCATTTCTACGAACATATTTCTTTTACGTATTATCAATCCTTCGCTTTCCTGTGTGCTTTCAAACGTCTGGGCAGGGTAGCCCAGTGGTTAGTGGAATCAGAATTGTTACAGAGAGGTGCGGGTTCGATCCTAGCTCTGCGCGCCAGTTTCTGGTCAAATCGGCGAGTGAGTTTCGTGTTCGAGACCGCAACAAGCTGTTAATGTTCTGCGATGTTAAGAATAAGCGATATGTCTACGGCTTAATAAAAAAAATGCTGACACCGCTATTATTGTTATTATTATAATCAAGCCACATAAATTCTACGCTGCACATTAAACATGTCTCGTGTTTCTTGGCTTACGCGTCTACGAAGGTGGAATGTAGCTGGGCTGTCTGACGAGAAGGAGGAGGCTAAAAGAAAGTTAACTTTTACATAGAAGCTGAACTTAACTAATTAAAATAATTAACGCTCAGACGACATCACTTGCTGCGAAAATATCAGACATTTCCATGGAATCAAGCAACATCAAATGATAATTTTGTACGTACTTTTTTTCTTAAAAATGCATGAAGTTAATCCAACATAATCGAGGCCAACAATTGTCAAGAAAATATCACTTTATTCAATTTGTCTAGTGGACTTTTCATTGCCAAATTTTTAGGTTGCTAAAGTGTGAAGTAATTCGAAGTAGTTGAGTGTAGTAATTTGACTGCAAATTGTTTACACAAATGATATCTCAATAGCAGAATTAAATTTAACATTGTCAAATTTTACCGACAGTTTTACGATATGTGTGTATTTAAATGGTACTGAAAATCAATACAAAATAAATACATAGACTGTGAATAAAGTACGATTACTAAGAATATTGCACCATTAATTTACATTATAATTGGTTGCAAACTTTCAATATACTCAACGTTTTCATTTCAGTAGAAAATTTGGTATAGAAACTGTGTAGTCTGTCCACAAATTGCTGCTTGAATGGCATTAGTATTAACAGCGTCTTTGTGTCGTTTATATAGGTACATTTTTTGACTAGAACCCACATAGCCCCGGTTGCGGAGGGATAAGTATATGTACGTACTTTAACTTATTTATGTAGCGATATGAATTTTAAACATGGATGAAATTAATATAAATGGAATAAATTTAAATAAGATAATTTAAGCCAAAACACTTGTAGACTGCCGGAGATTTGCATGAGAGAAAGTAATTCCCCAGTTAATTAATTAATCAAGTCATTGCTTAGCACACAGATTCCTCGCACGAGGTAGCAGCGCTTACGGAGCTGCAACGCGCACATCCTCCCACCTCAGACTCCAGAGAGCGACTAACTCGTTCTATTTTTGTGCTCGGTAATTGCAAGACTTGCGGTAGCCTGCCCTGTCGAGACCTTCCAGTAATTATGATAAAGCAGGATGTTGAAGTGAAGTCAACATCACATTAAATGACTTCTAATTATTGTCGACGAGTGCCTGATTCGCAACAGAATACTGTTTACGGAGAAACGCTGATGAGAAGTAACGGCATGAAAATGCAACGTTCATCACAAATTTTTATGGAATCTCACTTACTACGAGCCGACGAACCACAGCAAAGTAAAAGCAAGGCAGAGAAGTACTCTGCACTTCGCGCCCTCAAGGCACCAACAGTAGCTGCGACTGGAACTATCAGTTCCCCATGTCCGTCATGGTACGCAACTGGACCGGCTCAGAACCTGAGACGGATCTAAGTCAGCAATGCCACTTCGGTTTTGGACAATGATAGATAGAAATTGGCTGTTATATTGACGTTGCAAGGCGGCATTCCAGCGATGCAAGGGAGTCGAACGATACGGTCTGCCATAATTATGATGAGCTTTCACTTGAAGGAAAACATGCCGACTTTACCTAACTCTTGATTTTTTTATGGATGCACAGCTGCTGAAGGTAAGGGACATAAATAATGAATAAACTCTCACCATCGCAGCCATCAACATAAGTCGCGAACACGTATCCTTCTAGGATACGTGGATAAGGGATAAGTTGCGAACACTTCTAGGATAATTTGCTAACACGTAACCTACAATCATAAGTTGCGAACACGTATTTTATTCAGAATTGAGTAAAATGTCTACTTATGTTTAGAAAAATAAGGTTGAAACTTGATTGGCTCGGAAACATGTTGAAATATCCCAATATATATCACGATACGTATATTACTCAACTAATGAATGAATTACATTACTTTTCATTAGTGTAAAGATTGTTTTGATTTTCGTGTTTCTCTAAAATGCAAATTTAGAAAATGTAGAATGCAAGATTTTTGTGGAAGACGTACTGGCAAATTATGATGTGATACTTTTCCAACAGTTTTATAAATGTTCATATAAATAAGCATCAAGTACATGATTTATCGAGAATAAATCGCTTTCTTTCTTCACTTTTAAATCACTTCCCCACAACCTTGAACGAAAGTGCTCCGAATATAATATATATGTAATTGTAGTTATTACTAATTTGCATGAAATTTATTTCTGACCATGCACAATAAATCGAAAATGATGAACTATGCAGTCATAAGGCTATTAAATGGGTGTTCTCTTTCTAAAAAGTTAACTTAAGGGTTGATAATTCCATCATCATTTTGTTTATAATGAATACTCTAGTCGGTAGTTTGCTTCGGAAGTTCACCAAGAATTTAGAAGTAAGGGGAAAGTATATTCAATACTCCATTGAAAACAACTCACAGACCTGCCCCAAGCGGCTCCATCATTAGTTCAAAAAATTCTATGAACATAAAAGCAGTCGTCCAGTGAAAATATAAGTAAAAAAAAAATTAAAATCTAAGTAACAAGAAAACGGCAACTGAACAAAAAACCCTGATGATTCAGAATTTAAAGTGGCTTAGAACTATACGCATTAATAAGACAAGGTCTCAGTTTATAAATATGCAGCGATTCCAAAATCTTTATATTCGAATCAACAGAGGTGGAACCGAGTATCTTGGAGACTTGGAATTGCTCTCACACCCAATCACGTCGCAATGTTCAGCGTTACATTTGATCATTAAAGAACTATTAAATTATATAAGGCCTCGGCAATATCCCATAATAAATTTAAAATGTACACACGTAACTACTCTGAATGAATGCGAGTTGTCTTCTGAAACGTAATATTTTTCTCATATATCTAAAGTATATTCGACGCAGAAATTAAAATATTTCTATATATCAGTAAACATTCAACATGAGTTCGCTGGTCATAATAATTTTAGGACAGCCGGACACGTTTTGGGTTTTCTTAATTCGAAGAAAATTGTTTAGAATTGCAAATAAAATCAATGTGTGAGAATTATGAGAAGGAAGAGAAAGTTTAGAGGCAGATAAAATCCTAAAATCCATCCATCAAGTTATCAACGACATTGTGGAACATTGTGAAAATAAAATATATCAGTGTACCATACAAAAACTTTCTAATAGAATATAAAAAAACATATGAGCCCACAACTATGTTATTTTAGAAAATTTAGAAAATACATAATGTTCAACAGTTGCTAAATAAATTATTAAAGTAGCATAATTTAGATCTCCTTTTTTATCTTATAAAATGAGAGATTCTCTATACTCCTTTAAACAAAATTTACACTCACAACAAGAAAAAATATCTCGTTTAATATGGATTTATTTGTTCATAGGTTCTCACGATCAGTGTTTGCATGAAGTGTGAATTTTTTTAATTGGGTCCAAAAAGAGAATGACTATCGATATTCAATGAAATGCCTTACCTGCTTCACAACCTACCCTACGAATTATAAAAGGCTTCTGCTATATTCCATCTGCACTCTAAAATGTAACACTCCTCGAGACTCAGCGGGTAAACTTCGCGTATCTGCAAACTTTTCATCCGATGACTAGGATGTTTATCCAATCTTTGAGAAATTGGTGGACAAATAATTTTTTTAAGGAACTGTCCAAGGAAATATTACGTATCATTAATTGCATTACGACATGGAAATATGATTCAATAATAATAATATGATTCAATATGATTATATTATTGTATTAGGACAGGAAATATAATTAGGAGCAATCGCGCGGCTATGGGTAAGTAACGCTTTGTATCAGCGCGAGTAACGACGAATATTTCCGGTTTTCAGCTTGAATAACTCTTAGCATTTCTGAGCATCAGCTTGAGTAACTTTAAGGTAACTCCGAGTATCAGCTCGAGTTAATCTTGGTAACTTTCAGTATGCGAGTAAGTAGGGTAACATGGGGCAGCGAGCCATGCACTGCGGGTCATGGGCCCATAGCGGGTTTCTCGCTAAGTATGGCAGATATTGGTCCGTGTTCTCTACCGCCGGTCGACAGTTTCACTGGGATGAAGTGTACGGATTAACGTTTTGCTAAGTGTTTGCGGTATTAAGCTATTTGTGAATTACTGTTTTAGCCTAGATGAAAATTTTTTTGCTGCTAAATAAAACTGTTTTTGGTTACTGTAGATGAAGCTTTTGAAAGTACTGTGAATTATATTTTAAAATTAATATTTATAGGAATAATTTTGAGATCAAGTTTAGAGTATTAGCTTTTAATATAAAATTTTGACCCGATATAAATTGAAATGATACCTAGTGGGGCAACGGGCCCACGCCTGTCACGGGGCAAAGCGCCCATGGTGAAGTCTTGTGTATATAGATCATTAGATTTGTCTCAACGACAAATCTAATGATCTATATGGACAAATCTAATGATCGATGGGCGGCTGATTTACAGAATTTCGAGTTTCAAAGCAGGTGCATCGTATACGTGCGATGCTATGAACGCTCAAATAGTAAAATTAAAAACCGGTGCTCCATTGACTAGCTTTTTGAATTACAAATTACATTTCATATTGCATGAGTTTTTGATTTGCCGCCTCAAGGCAGCAGGTTTAGTTTCTAATTATGCGTATTTATGACCCCCTCATCGAGATATTGACTCTTGCCTTGCCAAAAGTTGATTTCAGTCAACACCAATGAGCCAAAAGTTGATGACTTTTTATGGTGTTGGCTGAAATCACGATTAGGTGCGAATTCTCTGCACATAATATCTGGATTATGGACGAAACTGGAACGAATTTTTTTCTGACCAACTAAATATATTTTTTCTAGTCATGGATACATTTTTTCATGTCAAGGACGAATTTTTTATCGCAAGGATATATTTTTCATGTCAAGGATATATGTATATTTTTATGTCAATGAAATATTTTTCTTCACGTCAGTGATAGATTTTTTAAGCCAAGAGTATATTTTTTTCAAACTAAGGATATGATTTTTTGAGTTGTTAATAAATGAATAAATGTCTTTTTTTTATTACATTTATCTTATTTTTAACTCTATAGTGTTGTTTTATCATTTTTAAACGAAAAATATGCAATTGTGGTAAAGGGACCAGGGGTGGGCGCTTTGCCCCAAGCCTAGGGTTCCATTGCCCCCGGGGTGGGGCACTGGGCCCATTTTGACACTTTTTACAAAATAGTGTTTCATTAAAAAGTGAATAACTCTATAGGCGTCTAATTCACATCATACATTCCTCATTAGTTGTACCTTTAAACAAAACAAAGAAGCAGCTCGTATCAATTAAAACTTCATCAAAAATGTAGTTTAAAAAAAGGGGGGGGGCACGCTGCCCCATGTTGCCCTTAACTACGGGTAAGCCTGGGTATCAGCTTGAGTTACCCAGGTAACGATGCGTATAATCTAGTGTACCTTTAATTAATGACTCAGAGATATTTTAAAAGAGCTGAAGCATCACGGGATTGCTAACAATGTTTAATTATAGATCGCTGAGTATCAAGTTGAAATGAAATTATATATAAAATTACGATCAAAATTAAAGGTTTAGATGAAATTATGGTATTAATATAATGATGGTGTATAAAAATGCTGGTGTACAGAATGTAAAGGCCGATTTTAAATGAGGATGTAGATAAAAGATAATCTGAGTGTATTTTTAATAGCAATTGTGACTTTTAGCCTCAGTAAATGAAATATTGAGGCTAAAATTATAAAATAAATATCGACGAAGTGCGCACGAAGTAAACATGTTTCGCTTCTAACACGATACTCAAAGTGTAGGATTTATCTTTTAACCTAGGTAAGAGAAATCGTTAGGTTCTACCATGAATTCCTTATAGAGTTCGAACCACGTGAGCATCGCGCCTTTTAAATTTATATGGTTGAGAAATATCTAATTAAGGTAGATATTTTATTGACTCATATAAAATAAAATAATGTAAATAAAATTAAAAGCTATCGACAAATTAATTTTAAAAGTAGTTCGTAAGTAGACAGGCGACTTACCTTTTTCTTGAAGTGGTTAAAGGCGAACGAAGAGCTGAGCTTTAAATCTGCTTAAAATTATCAGTCCGGCACTTTAGTTTACTGACTTTCTGGAAATTAATAACAAGAAAACTGACCTGCAAGAGCAATACGTGGATTTAAACATTATACATAAATATGCGAAAAGTTTTAGAGTTTTTTAATTGAAGATGTTGAATTTTAGTCCCCTGTTAACTGTTTCAACACACTAGATTTCAGATGAAATTTTGAATACAAAATCCATTCAATTTTACTTAAATTTCACACTCACGGGAAACGAAATTTTTCATCACGGTAAAATTTAGGCTTCTCGTGGAGAAAATTTAAAATATATAAATATTTATATATAAAAATATATAAAATATAGGTTTCGTGAGGTTCAGTATGGAGTTATATAATTTGCATGAACTGCTTAAAACTTCGTTATTACTGCAGTGATCATATTAAATACGTCATCGTATTGTATGTCAAGTGGGTGTTGGCTAGCTGGTCACTGCACATACAAACACGATGTTTGAGCGACATTTAATATAAACATAATCCATAAACTTTTATTCAACGCATCACTCACAATTCAGAAATTTTCGTATATTAATCACTCATTACGAATTAGTGAACGATGGGCGGATGATTTACAGAATTTCGAGTTTCAAAGCAGGTGCATCGTATACGTGCGATGATATGAACGCTCAAATATTAAAATTAAAAACCGGTGCTCCATTGCAATGCCTTCTTAACGGTCTTTATTTTGCGTCACTGTTTTCGTACTTTATTTCATCTTTGATCGATATAATCAGTGAAAACTCTGACAGAAACCAGAGTCTGCGCGCAAAGACTGTATGAACATGACTCAGAAACAGGCGAGCTCTGGCGAGAGCAGCGCCAGTGGCTGAACTGCGGCCGAGTTGCGAACTAACAGCCGTGTAACGATCGGCAGCAGCTCAAGCCTTGCAGACAACATCACCTCAGAGCTCAGATAGATTTGTCAAAACTTTCTTATAAATAATTAAGCATGAAATAAAATGATTCTAATTTTATGAAATGATTAATTTACCATTCGTATCGAGTTTCCAGTGTAACCTTTACACTGAAATTGAGATGGATGAAGTTTTATTGTGTTTTGACACACCGGCTTTGACATGCGCACTAGGATGTAAACACACCATCAGTCATTTAGAGTAGGATCCCCTCGCCAGACGCAGTGCCTCGCAGGATTCCTCTGGTGTTGAATTTCACTTACTGAAATTTCTCATTTGCTAACGCCGCTGCTAATGTCATGATACTTCGGTATTTTAGCGACGTGGTTCTGAACGTGGAAAATATTGCACGAGATAAATAATAACTCTGTTAATTATAAAGTGAAAAAGTTTCTGTGTGAAAACTGCCGAGACAAAGTAAGCAAACCGAGCCCAGTCAAGTGCAAGAGCGGTGATGGAAAACAGTCTTGGTACAAGGTAGCATTTATTGAATTTGATAATCGTCGTCATAAAAATAATTTATCGTCGTCGTAAAAATAACGTCAAAACAAGACAATTTTTACCTCTTTGACCTACCTTTAAACTGCTCCCAATAAAACAAAAAGAATTGCCGACTCTTCTGAATTATTCAAACGAACTCAAAGTTGGTAAGAACTCACACACCATATTTCGTAGTAGGTTAGCAAAAATAATCGTTAATTTTTAGCAGTGGCCGCGTTATGAATTTGTCGAAAGATTTAGTCCCGCTGAGGTACTCAATTTAGAATTTAAAATTAAATTAAAGTTAAAACAATAATTAAATATTATGCGTCACAATAATGTTGAAATAATTAAATATTATACGTCTCAATAACTCCAGGAGTGACCATATCATTAAGGAGCCTGGGCCATTAGAGTTGGTGTCTGTGAAGTCTACCGTCTAGAGTGTTATTGATATAGAATTAATGAAACATTATTCTTCAAAATAATTCCAGGTGCAACCATAGCAATATTGAGCCACTGGAGTTGAAGTAGCGAAGGTATATTTTTGAGGGAACCAGTGATATTGAATATTATTCTTCACAATAATTCCAGGTGTGACCATAGCAATATGGAGCCACTAGAGTTGGTGCCCGGAAGGTATATCGGAGAAGGACAGCCTTGCTTCATCATCGCAGAAATCGGACAGAATCATCAGGGCTGTGTGGAGACAGCTAAGACTCTCGTCAGAAAGGCCAAGGTGCTCATAAATGCTCTGAGATGACAATTTTTACAAATAAATTGCTATGGAATTTCATTAATCGTTGTAATTGAACACTGTTTTTTTTACATTTATAATGTATTCATTATATTCTGATCAGTTTAATGCTGCTCACTGGATCGCTGTGTGAAATTATTGTGCTGTCATTTGCAAAAAATGTATTGCGATGATCCTCGTTAATTAAATTGAATTATTGAAAGTTCATCAGATAAATAAATAAATAAATTGGATGTTGTTACGTCTCTGATATCTCTAACAGGAAAGTGGGGCGGACTGTGTAAAGCTACAAAAATCTTGCTTGTCATCGAAGTTCACCCAGGCAGCTCTGGACCGGCCATACGAAGGTCCACACGCTCTCGGCCCAACTTACGGAGAACATAAGCAGAAACTCGAGCTCTCCGAGCAGCAGTTCAGAGAAATACAAGACTATGCGACGTCAATTAACATGCCTCTCACTGCGTCTGCCATGGATGCGGTACGTCAATTGTTAATTCATATTTCAATATCGACATTGATACTGAGATCGTGTGAATATGTCTGTTTTTTTTCATTTAATTATTTTGAGTATCATCGATTGAATTTTTATTTAATTTTCTATTAAATTTTATCGTAGTTTTTCACATTAAATTAAATTCCGTATAGTTTATCTACTGAGCAGAGACTTTGACGTCTCCTGAAGTAAATATCAGTCTCACGACTGTGCAATTTGATTTTTAAAGTAAACTAATCACATTTCAAAATTTCATGTATGATCACCAAGAAGAAGTTAATTATGTTTGAAACTGCTGAATTGCCAACCATTATTTCTGTTCCACTCCATCTCGTGTAGCTTCCGATGTAATTAACCCTCGCTCACATCAAAGCTATATTATAGGCAATAATTTCGTCTTCATTATTCAGATCATCATTGTTACCTTCATTCCCTATATTATCTTTGATTTTTTTAGCCTTCATTGGACTTCCTGGATGCAGTGAACGTGCCTTTCATTAAGATCGGGTCCGGGGACGTGTGTAACCTTCCGTTGATCAGGAGAGCCGCAGCAACGAGACGGCCGCTCGTCATTTCAACCGGTTAGTAATCACGCCTCAATTAATATTGCTGTTTATTTAGGGAATGAACTGTTATAATGGGGTATAAGTCCTTTTTGATCGAGGCTACGTTTTTTTGTTGGTCAAGAAGATAGTTAAATCCTGGGTACATTATCCGTGGATTTTTCACATTCCAGTTCATCGATTGAGAATAATATAATTTTTTCCGAAAACAAGATGCTTTATATATATTAAATAAAATCATCTTTATATATTTCTTGCTCCCGCAGATAATTTTCAATATTGTGCTGTGTTTAAAACTATAAACATTAGTTATTCGAACGTTGCTTCAGGATATTCTAAGGTGAAAATGATACCCGAGCTCTGATCACTTATTTTTTCTTATTCATTTGATGAAATTCATTCGCACGCAACCATGAGTATTCAATGAGATACGAATTTGAAATCAATGATCGTTTGTAAATATAAATTGTTTATGAGGTGGAGATAAAATAAACAAAAATAAAAATACATTAAAATAGAAAACAAATAAAAATATATAAAAATCCTAGTATATAGCATTTTATCTAAAACTAGAATTATGATTACAGGCATGAGTGACTTTGACTGGGTACGCACGGTATATCAGGACCTGACCGACATATCGCCTGGTACAGCTCTGGTACTCTTGCAGTGTACCTCATCGTACCCCACTCCTGCGCACCATGCGCACCTCAGAGTACTTGATACCTACGCCCAGGTAATTAGTGCTTCTTATTCCTACCACAAAAATATATATTTCGTTCGGTAAAACTTTTTACTCGTTTTTTTTTCGAAATTCAGATTCTCGCAAATTCATATCTTTTCATTATTGTGATTAAGCCGTGTTTTATTTATGAGTTCAATGTTTTGTGCTAACGTGGATAAACTTCTTTTTTTTATTAATTCTTATGTTTTCTTCGGTTTAATGCCTGCGAGAAACACATTTTTTATTGATATTATGCATTTATTCTTTACCTAATTACGGGCAAGATTTAGTCTTTAAGCACAGTTTCGTGCAATGTATCAATTATTGTCTTTAACATTGAACATTGCTTAGCATCAATGATAACAATCACTTGACATAGCATCATGATATTTTGTATTGTCAATGCATTTTGAATTTGAGAATTTCTAGTTAAAGTTGGCTGTTCACTCTAATTTGTTGAATCTCAAATATAACAAAATTTCAAACCCAAGTGATATAAGAATGACTAATGTTGCTTACTTCTAAATTACTGTTAATACTTTAGAGACTTATTCATTTGGGATTATTCGGTGTTCAAATATTTTCTGCCGTTAAAACTGCATTGTTTCTAATAACTCGGGTTTTATCATCCACATGGCAAATTTTATGTTTATTTTTTTTATTCTAAATTGAGAGTAAAGTTTTACTTTAACGAAGTGTCTTTAATTGCGATTGTGATCAAAGATAAATAGTTTTGAAACGGGTTTAACTTTAAAAAAATGTCATTTGGCAGGTATTTCCTCGGGCTCATATCGGCTACTCCGGCCATGAGGAGGGCATATACATCAGCGTCGCCGCGGCCGCGAGAGGAGCCAGGGTACCTGACAGATACTATATAATTATTAGTTATTTTTATTTAATATTTGCAATAAATTGTAATGTAATATTAAATATTATTGTAATGCAATGTAATATTAAATTGTGTAATGGTGGATAATTCTTAAATTGTATAAAGTAATGTGTACAGTTCAAACATCGAATGACGAGTTTCGTAATGAATTTGATGCATTAACTCAGTGCTCGAGCAGTTTTGCGGTTCTATTGGATGTGATAATAATATAATAATGCATATTTAGTAACGTATTTAGTGTTGGAATCGCACAATTATATCCTAAGTATAATAGCAGATGAGGTAACGTAAAAGATTATGAGGTTTTATTAATCTAAGGAACGATAAGTAACGCTCACCCACATTCATACTCTAAACTCTCATGAATTACCCCAATTACCTCACAATTACCCCATTAAACATTATAATTATCGAAGTTGACTTTATTTTCATGGATTTTGTCAACTTAACTGACACATTTTCTTGGTTCAATTAGGCGTGTAGTTACGCTAAATCTGTGTCTTTTTGTGACGCAAATTTCTTAAATAACGTTATTATTTGTTTACAATAATAATATATTACAAAATAGAGTGATATGTTTTGGGTTCTTGAGCGACACATGGCGCTGAGCAAGCATTATAAAATTATGTCATTTGCTTTAGGTTCTGGAAAAAAAGTTTTTAAAAATATTATAAAACAGCGTAATATTTTCTAGGTTATAGAGCATCACGAGACGCTAAGCAAATATTATAAAGTAAAGTAATATTTTTAATTTCTGCAGTAATGTCTGGCGGAAATAATAGAGAGCCGTGAGACACTTTCTAATTCTCGTATGTCGCGTGACGCTGAGCAAGGATTATACAATAATGTGACATGTTCTATAGGTTCAGGATTAACTTTTGGGGGAAATATTAGTAAATAGTATAATATTTTCTATATAGGTTCTAGCACATCACGTGATGCTGAGCAAGGATTATAAATGGTGTGAGAGTGTCTATAGGTTCAAAATTAACTTTTTGGAAAAATGTTCGAAAATATTGTAATATTTTCTAGGTTCTAGAGCGTCACGTAACGCTGAGCAAGGACCAGCAGGGCAGTGACCACCGCTGTTCGCTGGAGCCCTCGCAGCTGAGGGAGCTGGTGCAGGCAGTGCGGTGTGTCGAGGCTGCCCTCGGATCACCCCTCAAGGCCTTGCAGCCCTCGGAGGAAGCCTGTCACAGGAAGGTAAGGTTACCTGAAATACTAGATTATATTAAAACTAGGATAATAAATTCTAGGGTTGCCATATTTTAGTAGACAATGGGTTCAGGTTAAAAAATTGATTATCAACGTGATTTTTTTCGCAATATACAGAAAAATGAGAAAATTTATCATTTACCTGACTTATATACCAAACTAGGCATGAAAATAGAAAAATACTATTCTGTGGAATGTAAAAAAATGTTGAGTCTGCATTTAGAAGGTTTATATTTGTTGGCAGTCCTTTTATTTGACCAATAGTCATGTCGACTGCATTTTATGACGCGTTCCTTACAGCTCGGCAAATCAGTGGTTGCAGCTCGGGACCTCCCCAGTGGACACATCCTGACGGAGGAAGACATGGTCGTGAAGGTGGCAGAGCCTCCAGGGGCATCAGGCATGATGTTCTATTCCTTCGTCGGTAGAAAGCTGAACAAAGATGTTCCTATTGACGGCTCCATCTTGGAAGAAGATATTTCTTGAGGAGAAAGAAGTTGTAGCAAAACTAACAAAGACGGACATATTGATTACAATAAAAGACGAATCGCAGAATGGGTTCGTCAACAGAAGATTACAATATAGAGAAATACAATACCGTAGCAATTGGTTGAACTCGGGTTGGAAGGCCAATATGATTTTACGACTAGAAGGGAACTGAATAGAAAATGTGCGGGGTAAATTGTGTAAAAGAATTCAGTGGCAACCAGATTATTTTATTATTAGAAATTTTCTATACACAGAAAAAATGAACGATTTCATTGAGAAAAATCCGGATAAAATATTAAAGCTAAGGTTTTAAATTAAACTTAATATCTCATTGGTGTCTTTTTTTACTGGATTGAAAAACTGAACGCACTTTAGTATTGTGAAATGTTTTCTGGACAATATTATTTTAAAGATAAGAGAAAATCATATCCGTCAATGTACGGTTTGCAATTTTCTAATGAGAAAGAGTTATTAAAATTATTGTAGTTGTACTAGTGAAATAATTGGATACATTATCGACGAAACGCGATTATCACTTAAATGCCACAAATAAAGTCACTGGCAATTTTATTAAAATTTGTGCTTCACAAACTCACCTGAAGACCGAAATCCTTTTTCTAGGCTGTAAACAGGGTGTAGGAACTTCTATATTGGAAGATATCGCTATCAAATAGAATATTTATTCCTAATTTCAATGGTTAGATTAAACTTGGTTTGATATAATTATTATTTGGCTTATGCTGGCGTTATAACCCTGCTCGTGTAATATGCATTCACCTTAGCTTTTTTAGCAGCGATTGAGCTTTTTTGTTGCTACAGAAATGGGCTCTAGCAGCTAATTAATGACATAATTTTTCATTATTCATTAAAGCGCAGATTAATAAGATCATTTTTTTATTCATAAGTTGTCTAATAATATGAGTATTTTCAGCTATAAAGGTGGCGCTATGCAGAAAATTTTCTAATGGGACAGTATCTTCAACATGCGGTGTTTTTATTACACGTGGCTACGAGCAATGAAACAATTAGCCAATATTTATGATTAAAAATTTTCAGGAAAAAGTAATGATGTTTTAGGTTGAGGCCATTATTTGATTCATTCCATTTTGGAGAAGCAAATTAATCCTCTAGAGCTTCTACTAAGGATGTAATTTTTGCATTTTTAAAGTACGCAACTGAAGAAATGATCAACTAATTTGTATCTTCTTTTTTTGTCGTCTGAAGGACAGATATGTATGATTGATAAGTAAGATAGTAATTAGAAAATAACTTCATAACATTCACATTAAAGGAAGTGTCTATTTCTGAATTAATTTTGGCTCTTCACCGACGGAATGATATACACGGCCTTTTAAGTTATATTAAAAGTAAAGACTAGATAAAAGCAGATAATTTAAAAATAAACTAAAGTTGAAATAAATGAACTTGATTGTCATTCTTTGTTAATTTGTAATTAGTAAAAAATTGAGATACTTTTCATCAATTACTTCGTGAGAACGACTTAAGGTATATAAAGAGAATGAGCAAGGTTAACAATATTGAATAATATTGATACCCATCATTTCCATTTATAACCAATTATAAATGATCGAAGTTTTGAAACGCCAGGTAACTTTTTATATTTTTTATATAATTGACTTGATTTTCCTTCAAATTATTAGCGTTCACAGTCACCGATCAAGCCGTTATGTCCAATGGACAACGTACACTCAGAAAAAGAAGGGATATTTTGTCCAAAAAACAATGCAATTTTTATCCTATGTTTGCAATGTTTTGTCCCCATCAGGACCCAGTTTTGCCCGGCAGAAGGGCGTATATCAGTGCTACGTCTGCACTCTGCATGCGCTGTGTATAAGAAAGTACGTCACAATTTGGACAACATAGCCCATTGATTAATTTGAGTGTTAAGCAGTCAATGCTCACTAGCTGATGCCTTGTTTCAATTACAATATTGTTACTTGTAACATTTCCTTGAGCTTCACATTACCTAATAATGTGCTACAGTCACTAGCTTGTATAGTTTACATAAAATACCGCTGAACTTCTGGAACTTTCTCTATCCTTACATGGTATGATTTAATGAATGACTGAAGTGATTGCCGCATTATTGAAGAAAAACTTCACATTTTTAAACGGTATAAGTGCGCGAATTTTTTAAGTGCTTCCCGAATTTAATAATTCAAATTTTCGAATAATATTTACATTTACATATTACATTTACATATGAAGAGCAAAATGAAGATATAATGTTACCACGTGGTGAAAATCGATGGAGAAAATATTTATACTTTTTTATGAATAAGCAATGTTTGGATGCGGGATGGAATTTGACAAGAATTACAGGATAAAATAAAATTTACTATACATTTTTAATTTTCTTTTATTATGTTAAAAAAAGAAACACTCTTACAGTTAATCTGAAAGCGCTTTAAATTAAAAAACAAACAGGAAATTAACTTGCTCTTAATTTATGAACAGCTATAAGAAGGCTCTCAGATCGGACCATATGGTTCGTCGTAGAGTAAATAGAGGCTCTTTCCTTGTCATAAATGTTCATCTTTGCACAAAATGTCACTCCAGTCTCTAATCGAAGACACACAAAACAGGTCAATTCGATTCATAAAAAAGTTCACATGAAATAGAGCATAACTAATGGAACTTTATTTTTACTAAGTTGGTAAGTTCTGATGAATGGCGGCGGGGAAGGACGCCCGAATTAAATGTTTCGTGGATATCGATAATAACCAAAATTATTTATCATATTTTCTTCGATTTTAAAACTTTCATCGAAATTCCTCATAATAGATTGATGCTAAATGTAAATATCGACATTTTTTTCTTACAGGGTAGCTTGAATAGTTATTTTTATGTGCTTTATAGAGTTGCCGTGGTGTCACCGGCTGCTCCTGTGTCTGAGATTCATATTCAGCGATTTGATCTACGGCGGAGAAGGCTGAGTATGAGTATCAATGTTTGTATTATTGTTTTTTCAACTTAACAAAAATAATGATATATTTTCATGTATACGAGGATAATTTTCGAAAAGATATTCCTTTGGAGAGTTTCGAAACGTTTGCTCCATCCATTCCAGGAAACGTTTTAATTTTGATTTCATCCTTAGTTTCCTGACTATCGGAACCAAATTTTGCATTACTCATTACTTTACTCTTAATATTTATTGACATAATCGTGCAATGTTGATGACGGTAAACATAGTTCTTTCAAAACCACGTGCTTCTCCGAAGTTGTTGAAAATGACAATTTTTTACGATTTGAGACTCCGAGCCCTTACTATGGTTCCTGAAACTCGCGACTTTATATGTGCGCTTGATTAAATAATAAGAATATTATATAATATGAAGGAACTGAATTCCGTATGATTTGAAACGTGAAATTTAAAAGGTATTTTGGGAACAGAATGAGTTACGTAATAACCAGCAACACGCTAAGTCAAATAATACATTAATTGGGTGTAAATCGGGCCGACACATTGCGTAAATTACATAAATATGTTGGACAGGACCTTAGCGCGTCACTGAAAAAATCAATCAGCATTTGTCATTTATATTAAGGCAATTACGGTAAGGAATTAAAATATTATTTACAACTTAGGTGCATGGCCTAGCTAAAGCATTATAATGAATATATATGAGCGAATAATACAGGAAACAGGTGTGTTAATATGTTGTATCTATAGATGAATCTAAGTGCATAACCTCTACATGAAATTTTGTAATATTCTCTGCACTTATTGCTATTTCAGACGTAATTGTAATGGTTTATACAAGACAAATTGTAGAAAACAATCTCATAAGAATGTCGACACATACTTATGATCTACGTATCACATTTGCGTTGGACCCATTCATTGTTTATAGTTGCCGAACAAATTATTTGTGTGTTACTTTGCAACATTAAAGTGTTTAGTCGTTATGGAAATTAAAAAAATGCCGTAATACAAAACTAAATTGAATTTATTATATTATATTTTCACACACGCGTAGTTGACCCTCATTCATCGTCCAGTAAATAACGTATCGCATATCTAGAAGCATTAACCCATGGGGTTTCCTTATGCATAGTTTATCAGTTTCTAATACTTGCGCAGGTGTACGTTTTCACTAAAAGATGTGCAATATATGCATCAAAATCAATTTATCCAGGAATTCACACTTATTAACCAGAAAGACAGCGTTTTATTGTACTAATATAATAATATAATAGGTCATTTTTCCCATGATATAATTTTTTTGAATATACATTAGCAATTATTAGGTAAATTCAAATGCTTCCTTGAACTGAAATAAGAAATGCTACGGCAAAACTTCTTATGGCAATAAAGAGTAGCTCTTGACTATTTGTAGTTTTTTATCTCATAGCTACGGCGCTGAAATTTTCCTTTGGTCGAGAGGAGTAAGGGTAACTCTGCTGTTTTTCCGACCGTGCTCGGCCAGCGCCGTGGGCGGCGGAGCGAGAGGCGTCGAAAGCCTGGATGGCAGCGAGTGATGTAATGGTCTGCTATTGATGCTTGAGAAGACACTAGGAATATCTTTTCCTTTTAATAGCTGTACCGCGTCAGAAGTAGTCGACTGTCTTCGACCTGACTCTTTGTAGGTGCTGGACTCGACTCCTATTGGAGCAACAGGCTTCCTTGTGGCAAGTGAACTGCTGCTGGCGCCTGAACCCTGCACGGTTTTAGCTCCTATAGGATAACTACCTTGCTTCACGAACGTCGTGGCCTTTGCAGCTGCTTGCGCCTCCCGTAATATGTCCAAATCTGTGAATTGTTTCGCATCTACTTTAACAGATTTCTTCTTGAAACTTGACGGTAGTGAACGATGGTTCAACAGGAGTGTATCTTTAGGCTCCGTGATCCTATTGCGTGCTGGGCTCATGATCTTAACTCTGCCAGAATCCATTGTGTTTGGTCGAGAAGAATTGAGTCTGGCCAGTGACGTGGCAAGCGATGCTCCGATCAGAGGAGGACGATTTTGGTCCGAGCTTTTCGGTGCAGAAGTCGGAGTGTTTGCCCTCGCAGGAGTGACGTCCATGTCTGAGCTCTGGTCCGTATCGCCTTCTGGATCAGTTGCCTGGAGACCGAAGAAATGTTAACGATAAATAAGGTAAGAGCTTATAAAGATAATAAAAGTATTGAGGTACTTTATGAGGTATGATACGCAAAAGTCTATTTTTTCTCATATATCGTGTAATTCTTCAGTATGAGAATATTCATATACTATATTAATCCCTTCTTTTAGCGGCTTTCATGGTATTCCTGTAAAACCCATATTCAACGTGAATTAACTGTCATTATTTCGTTTCAAATCAGAATGAATTAGTAACGAAATTTTTGGTCATTCACAATTTTGATTCCTACAACTGAGAATGTTCGTTTTAAAATATATTACTGTTTGCTGTTTGTTGGCGAGGTCCGGGGCGCTGCTGGGCCTGTAGAGGGAGCCCTCGGGGTCCCCAGGGTCGCCGCCCCCGGCGCTCGTCAGGTCGTCCAGGGAATTCAATCTGCGGATGCGGGGCTTCAGCGCCTTCGCCCGGTCCCTCAGGATCATGGATGCTTCTGTTGATACATGAGGAATTTGTTCTGTTGAGTTTGCTGAGGGAGACATGAACATTTCAGTGCTTCTGTTGATACATGAGGGATTTGTTCTGTTGAGCCTGCTGAGGGAGACATGAACGTTTCAGTGCTTCTGTTGACAATTGAGGGATTTGTTCTGTCGAGGGAAATGCGAAGACCTCGGTCTCGATGGGTGAAATCCACGATAAGGAATTGATAGACTGAGAGTAATTATTTAGGCATTTATATATTAATTATTTTCATTGTATTAAGTATTTTTGAACCTTTTCTACACTATTGCTGCAGATCGGGAACAGCTGGCTTTTAAAATTTGCTGCTCAACTTTTTCAGTAACCCGCAAACCAGCGAAAATCCGCGAATGATTTTCTTCATTAAAAGTTCATAAATTAATGAATCTCATCGATTAATGAATATTCTTAAGAATGTTTATGGCTGAAGTGGAGCCGCGTTTGGCGAAGCGCAATCTAGCGAAGGAATGCTGTAAGGGACATTATTCCTAAAGACCGTGCACGGATGTGTTTAATCACATGCCCGTTTATGCTTGGACAATTACTAGGAAATTATAAAAATTCAGGGAATTTAATTATGATAATAACTATTAATCTGATAATTATTTACGTGAAATTCTTTGATAGGTGTCAAAAAGACTATATTTTTACACCATGCATTCTAAGATGCGTAAAAAATCGATAATTGAAATACTCTCTAATTTAAAGTTAACAACGAACATTTTTTTAACACTGCATTATCATCATTTATTTCGATGTTTCAGATAATTTCTGATCCGATTTAATACTATATTGATAAAGAGTGAGGCACAGAAATCTAAGCTTAGATCGCACGCAAGTTTGGCTCAAGCTCCGCTTAATTGCACGTGTGAGGGATCGATGTCCCGAGGGCAGACTGGTGTCGGCACGAACACTTCCCTTGTTCATTGAATTGTTTCACATACACTGTTCAAAATAACCGTGAAAATTGTTCCACATGCACTGCTCAAAATAACCGTGAAAATTGTTTCACGTGCACTGTTCGAAATAACCGTGGAAAAACGGTCTGACTGGCGTCCTAGTAACCAGCCACCTAGCGAAATTAAAAGTAAAATTTAGATATAAATTTAATTTTGTATGGATTTCTAGTGTTAAATTGGGAAAAAGTACACGTTGTTGTGACACGTTGTTTTTTTACGTGCCGGCCGTTCCTTGAAATGCCGAAAGACCGTTTTTCGGCAATTTTTTAACAATGATAGAGATTGAAGGATATTTCAATCACTCTAGTGAAGTGTTATTTCTTCAACTTTTGAACGCTAAAGTTTCGATTGTAGGTGTACTATATGCTCGATGACGCGAATGCAATATTAATAATTTTAAGATGGTTGATTTTGCATAATGTTTCCATATCGCAGATGTCAAAAGATTTCCTGGAGGTACTGCAGCAGTTGGTCTAGTAAGAAACAGAATTTTACAAGTGCAAAATATTTTTCAACTGAATTTAACCCGAAACGACCATTTCTTTCAGTCATGAACCAATTTTGCGTTTTCAGGCAAAAAGTAAGATTAAACATGATAAATTAACTGGGTAATTAGTGTTTCGAACTGACCAGAATTATTACTCTCAACATAAGTTAACTGAACATGACCGTATTTAAATTCTTCTTAATTATACATTTATCACGCTGGATATTACGCAAAAATTGCCTTACCAATATCCAAGTTGTTCGTATAGTTGACAGACAAGTGTAGTCCTCCAGTAACGAGCGCAGCAGGTTTCGTATGAGAAATTTTAGGCAGGACTGGAGCGTGCAGCGCGGGTTCTTTGACCATCGGCGTGAGACGATGAGGTCTTTGCGTGATGCCTGTGCCACCAAGCCCTCCTGATGTTATCAAGCTGCCACTCGCCCTGCAATGTCACAACTCAAAGGATAAACTGCGATAAAAATTGTGATCATTGTTGCAGCTGCAGTATATACAATACACATTCACTAGTGTAGTTCGGCAGAAGTTGTTTTTTTCTTTAATGCAGGTTACATTGACACCAGAGAGTTTTTCTTATTGAGTATTTTCTTGTAGTTTTTATCTATTCGGCGAATTAGGCTTTTGATAGGACTTGAAAATTCATATATAAGGTCTATACGGGGAATTTTATTATATTTATACCGTTTCGAATGTAACTACATTCGTTATCAAGTAGAGGAAGAATTTTGCAACACTTGAATTTAGAATTTTGAAATGACAACGTTTCCAAGCAACATTTTTACATGACAACATACAAACATAAGGATTCATTCATGCATTCTGCGGTCATTAATCATACGCGAATAAACAGGAAAATTCTGCCATCTAATACTAACATAGGGTATTTTGGATACAGTTTAAAAATCAAAGTTACCAGAGCAGTTACAACGTCCTTACAAATCCTGAAGTTTGTAAATTTTTAGCTGAAGACATGCTTAATGATGAGAGCCTCAGCTATATCATATTATACTCATAAATATGTAATGCTAGGTTTTTGTAAATGAATGTTTAAAAGTTGAAGATTAATCGTCTTTGAGGCTGACAAAAAGAATTTTTGAATGCATAAATTTAAAACTAACCTTGCCTGTGAACTTTGCCTCTGGTTCCATTCTTCTCCGAAGACTCGATGTCGGCTCTCAAGGTAGAGTTCGGCAAGAGTCAACAAATCTAGTTCTGCTGTATCTGACTCCGTTAAACAGTTCACGTTTCCTGATGAATCTCCATTCAACGGTACTACACTAACACGTCTGTTGGATTTGTTCGTCCCTCTGTTGGGGTTTCGATCCATATGGGGTACAACCCCTGCCCCGGGTGTTGGTAATCGACCTTCCGAGCTCGCGGATTTAATTTTTTTTCTGGCGTTCGAGGCAGCCAATCCCCCGCTGCCCAAATTCCCGACAGATTTCGAGAGAAGTTCCGAAGAACCTTCAGTAGCCGCGAAGAATGAATAGTTATGCATAGCTTCGTTGTCTTCAGAATCAACGATGGACTTCTCCACTATCCCTCGGATGTCCGAAGGAAGATAGTCTTTGGAACCGTCCCCGTAAGTGACTTCTTTCCGGGACTTGTGTTGAGTCGGTGAATTTTTATGTTCTATGGGTGGAGTGGGTGTGGCTCTGCCTCTGTATGGATGCAGGTGAGCGTGCGGGTGGAATGAATTGTTATCTTCAGTATCAGTAGCGATGGTGGGTAATATGGTGAGCAGCATGAGTCTTCTGTATCGGTGAAGCTCGTGCATCATGTCAGGGTCGTTGGCGAAACGTCGCCGCCATAAGATATCGTTGTCGGGACCTGGCTGCGCATGCGTACAAGATTCTGCGATCGTCGTTAACGTCCGTAATATTGGTTTCATGTCAAACTTGAGCGCTTTTTGAGGTCCATTATATTCTTCATTCAGACAATGATGTGTAAATAAAAAATAATTCCTATGAAATGATAAAAATTAAGAAATGACCTTGCAACAGGTTGTCTACTCTATGAAGTAATTTTTAAAATGATAATAAACTAATATATCACCTGGGGGAAAGAAAGGAAAAGATAAATTATTAGTAGTTAGTTTAACCATAGCATGAAAGAGCGTCGGTGAAACAGCAAAGAGGATACTCATTCTTTCAGTAATATTTGCTAGATATTTCATAAGATATTTACGTGGACGATATTTACGTAGACGATATTTAGGTGGATGATGTTTAGGTGAATGTTGTTCAGGTAGATGATATTTAGGTGGATCATTCTCTAAAAAACGTTTGTCCCGTTTTAATCCGCAATGATTAATTATCTGTACATATTCAATTCCTTGAATTAAATTAGCAACACTATCGGTTATTATTAGTTCTATCAGATTTTTTGTCATTATCTACAATTATTATAAAATGGCATATTAGTTATTAATTAGTAGTCTTTTTAATTATAAATGTCCCCACTCGTCAAATGAGAATAAAATTCCATGTCAGCTAATTACCATACAATCAAATGAGAGCCAAAGGTTTAGCAAATCGTCTTGCAAATGTTCGCTAGTTTCTTCGCATAACAAAGACAACAGGACGAAGATCAGAACAATTCATTAGAGACTCGGAAACTTTATCATTAAAAAACGAATCTTTCAGTTTGTTATTTTGTTTTCAACGCATCTTATGTTCAACTGTGTGCCTAAATACGACTGATGGTTGCCAGGCAGTTGACTGAAGCAGTAACCAGGCAACCGCGGCTGATGGCTATTGGAAATCCATGGTGCGTTTGGCCTTTGTTAAACAAAACCATTCGATCCCTTCAAGATACGAATGCGGATACCTTACGGATACGGATACCTTACGGATACGGATACCTTACGGATACGGATACCTCACGGATACGGATACCTTCAAGATACGGATACCTAATACTTAAAAATTTTTCTTTGTAATGATGGCATTGTGAACGAATGATGATTTGTGCAATACGTTAACAAATTACAAATTAGTGAACTTCACTAACGATGAAATGCATGTGTTGGATTATTCGGCATAGTTTTGCGTAGCATATAAAGCAAGTGATTTGCAGGTGATATAAAGCAGGTGATTTGCAATAAATAATATTAAACTTCGTACAGAAAACTTGAAACTATAAGTCTGTGAAGGCAACAGAAATATAAACGAGAAGTAATTGCATACGATGATATTTAAACTATAAGCTCAATCAAGGCGGTATGCACCTAAAAATAATTCATGTTTTGAATTTAATTCTAATTTTCAAGTTAGTTTAATGATTACTAAAATTAAAGTGGTCCTTCGCTGATTAAAAGCTAAATCTGCTGATCGATGAATCAAGGCTACATTTCTTGCGAGGTCAGCTGCAATCTTCAGCCTTTGTTTAAGGCTGACCTAAATGAACAACGCTCGGCCTTTACCATCAATTGAATTAATCACAACGTTTGCAAGGATATTTGCATGCATGATTCATAAACAACGTTTCCTCAATTTTAGTAATTTTAAGTTCACGAATATTAAATTTATAGGTGCTAAAATTTGGGTTGAAATTATGTTAATAATTAAGGTCAATGGCTTGCAAGGCCGAAGTTGTTTCCTGCCTGGAAAAATTCAGAACTAAATTTATATTTTATTAATAAACTAAATTATAGTCACATAATTCTTCATATACGATAAAATTAATCATGATTAACCCTCTCAACATCGCATAGCTCAATTATTTAAGAATAAAGAAATAGGACATGCCAGGACACTGAGACAAATATGTTAGACTTTGTACAAATAACGATGCATCTTTTGCTTTCACGTGGGTCATCCTGCATTAGTTTGGCTCGGAAGTTACGCATATCTTTGCTGCATGGTTGTTCTCTGCCCGTACATTGTGTAAGAAAGTGTGTCCTAATTTGGACAATATTACAATTTTTATAAGTGTGGATAGTAATTCCACAATTCTGCTGCAGTTCACCGCAAAGGCAATAAAGGAATAAAAGGCTGTAAAAAGTTAAGTACAGCTGCCAGGCCACGTCAAACAGAGATTATTTCAAGCTTGGAGTCCTCGACATTGATTGTGCCAAGGCCTTGTGAGCGAAGCAAGTGTGTCAGCGAGGTCTGGTCACGACAGCTTAACAAGTGGGTCAACGTAACCTACATAACGGAACAACTGCAGTACATTTCACATGAACGTGCAACTGCCCATTGATCTTATATTGATTGTTACGTGTCATCTGTGACGTGCTTTTGGTGGAAATTAAGCTGTTACACGTCATGTGACGTGCTCTAGGTGGAAATTAGGCTGTTATACGTCATGTGACGTGCTCTTGGTGGAAATTAAGCTGTTATACGTCATGTGACGTGCTCTAGGTGGAAATTAGGCTGTTACACGTCATGTGACGTGCTCTTGGTGGAAATAAGGCTCTATGAGAATAAAATTACGACAAGGTAACGTAAAATAACTCACCATTTTTGTTTAATCATCAGTTCATTACTAAAGTGTTATTTAGAGAACAACGATGATATAAAAAATAAAGATTATGCCACTGATTTATAACCATGGTTGTCCAACAAGCCACTGGTCTCCTAGCGGGTGGATCGGATTTCTACTCAATGGATTTAACCCTCTACCGCCTGACACAACTAACCGGAGCAATATTGTCACGCGCCTACTTCCCAAAAAGGATACGTTCTAGTGAGCGCAAAATAACTTGCACTGATGGTTGCACTGATGGTTGCCACGTACGACAACTTCAAAATGTTCTCTGTTGCGTACAAACCTCCTCAGGTTGCTGCACTCAATAGTTTACGTATAATTTAAGTTAAAGTTATGTTCCCGGAGAGTGAACATCGGCGGTAGAGGGTTAAAAACCGGAATGGATCAACTCTGAATGTATCAACAGGCGGTCCAGTGCGTGTTGGATAATTGGACTTTCCCGCCCTTTAAACAATTAGGGAGTATTTGCGGGTTGCCGATAATAGAGTCTGGAACTTGAATACTAAAATTTTAGCATCAATGTTCAGTAAGTATGATTTGTGAGTGCCTTGATCTTTTTATGCTTATAATTGTCAGAAGATTTAATTATAGGTCAAGTAGCCTCCTTTTTGAGTACTATTAAAGTTCAATCACAGTTATTTAATGTGATAATTAAATTTCTTTAGTTGAAATCATTCTAGTTTGCAATATTTTGTTTTAATTTGTTTTTTGATTGATTGAAGTTAAATTTCCTTATTTGAATGCTCACCCAAACCATTAAACGTACCGTGGTGAGTTTAATATACGGCTTCTCTTCTGAATGTGGTAATGGTCAGACTGGTTCACCAGTGAATAACTGAATGGTCAGGTTGGTTCACCAGTGAATAACTGAATGGTCAGGTTGGTTCACCAGTGAATAACAGAATGGTCAGGTTGCTGCAGCAGTACTTGACTGCATGGATTATGTATGACTTCACATTCATTTATGGCACATGTCATCATAACGAACAGCTTGCGTTGAAATATATGTTTGGCCAAGAGACCATATTTCAGGCCAGTATTTCCTGCACACATTAAAATTAATGGTTCATATGTTCCAAATAATGGCATACTTGTTGCAGTTAGCTGTGATCCGCCTTTTTGCTGGACCAAATTGATCATGATACCCGCACAAGCTCAATAATGCATCATTATTTTCACAATATCTCACTTATTTTTCTGATATTGGCTTGAAGTATTCATGTTTCGCTGCTCTCATGTTATGTAATGTTCGTCATCGCGTTCACATTCAAATAATAAATGACCTTATTCATTTTTTAGTACGTTTAACATTTGTCGAATGAATTACCTATGCATGTTCACTATTATTATTATTCATCAATAATAATAGCAACCTTACCTGCTGCCTTCAAATTATCGTCTATCGCACTTTCATTCAGGCTTAATTACGATATAATTGATTCATTTGATGTTTTGGATGCATTAGTTTTTTTCCAGTTTCATTCTAGACCCAATTTAAATACAAACAAATTAATAAATAAATCAAAATCTTAATCCTCCAATTCACGTAATGTTTTTGACACTCAGTCTCAATGTGTGGGCGAATGTCTACATAAGATATAAGTACTCAAAAGTATTTCAGAAAATTTTTCCTTTATTGTAGAACTTTTAGTCTCTATTTAAATTTATTATAGATTGGCCAGTATTCGCACTTTTGTAGTTATGATTCATTCATTTTTACGAATACAGAACAGAATAATATATATTCTAATAATATAAACAATTATTGAACAGAAAATACACTTAACTCCCATAATAAATTTTGAAAAATTCTTTCAATTGTGTCAGCTTCTAGAAAATATAATTAAATTTTGGGCGCTAATTCCGCAGACTTTTCATGCGACTCCCAGATTTTGGAGTAGATATAAATACATGGACACCTTTCGTTTAAAAATAACTTATTTTTTATTATTTATTTTCCCAAGGAAATATTCGTGGAAATTCGTCTTTAAACACAATTTACCTTTAAGCCATTCACTTCATATGCACAGTTTGAAAACTCACTTTGACATGGATGAATCAACCTAACAATTTCCACTTCCATAACAATTCCCTAAGCACCATGAAAGCTTATGAATAGATGATTTTTATTTCTTTGGGGTTAACATGATTGCGTGAATGTCCAGGCAACGAACAATACAGCCACAAATTAGAACTTGCTTTTTTATCTCTACACAAAACACTTACCTCAAATTGAGCAAAATTCAGACACATTGTAAAAATTCACAGGAATAAAAGGCACGAGTATCATTCACCTTGAACACAATGTATTGCACTGGTGGCTTTGAATTGAGTTTTCTTTGGTTGCTATGAAACGAAGCTGTTGACCTAGCCACTTATTTGAGGAGCGGCGCACGACCTCCCACCTTGCCTCCATGAGTGGCACTGACAGAGGAATGCGTGCAGCCCAGCAGGTGCTAACGCGCCGCGTCGATCGCTCCACTTCCAGGGCATGATGGGTCGCATACCTCAGCCATGTGACCGCATAACTCAGCCATGTGACCGCATACCTCAGCCATTTGGCCGCATACCTCAGCCATGTGGCTGCACACGTCAGCCATGTGGCTGCATATCCCAGCCATGTGGCCGCATACTCCAGCCATATGGCTGCATATCCCAGCCATGTGGCTGCATGCCCCAGCCATGTGGCCGCATGCCCCAGCCATGTGGCTGCATATCCCAGCCATGTGGCGACCTTGAACAAGGAAATAGAAACAATTATTTTCATCCTGCGAATAAACTTACTAAATAAATTTTTTCTCTCTTAAATACATTTTATAGTTTTACTGTGAATGCTTTCACTAACCGTCAATTCTACAGAGGTTTGATATTTGGTAAATTTCATGTCACCAGAGTAAATTAAATCAATGAAATTACTAAATACTTATTAAGTTATTTATTTCAGTAGATGACATCAAAAGTTTTCAAGTACCGTAGAAAAAAGTTTTAAGTACGCTTTAAGCAGTAAAAAGTTCCATATGTTATGTCTTGGAGGACAATCGTGAAATTCGTAAGCAAAACAATCATCGTAGGCAAAATATTAACTTCAGGTGCATTATAAGAATGAATTAATATCATTACTGACAAATAAATTGTTTTAATATTACTCTCAATGAAATAAATAAATTTATTAAAAATGCTGTGTTTGTTGTTGTGAAAAGATTTAGAAGTGAAATTATTTTTCATTAGATACTGTAAAAATAAAAAATATTATGAAATATAGTCTTCCGGGCTTCCTATATATGCAGTTAACAATAAACCATAATTAAACTAAAACTCGTATCTTCCAAATTCTTTGATCAAAGGGTAATGACAACCAACGCGTTTAAACATTTTTATTTCATCTACGGAACAATAGTTAACGCGACGTCTGGTCTGATCGGGGTGAAATTTTTCTCAAACAAAACAAATAACTTCCATAACTTTTATAAACAATATTGAGTTCAATCCATATCAGAGAAATCGATATACTATAGAAAATTAATTGAAAACAGTCAAAATTTCGGCACTTTAATTGGTTTTTAAATCATGTACGATCTCATCGCAATATCCGCTATTTCTACCAAGAAATTTCTGAGGATCGTAGAAAATGGAGTAGAATAGTGGCCAATTTGCTTTTATTAAGCTGAACTCATAACCCAATTTGTATCCAGAAATTTTTTAATTGATCAATTTAAATTGTAAAGGAAATTTTGATTTTTAGTTTCGCTTTTCCTCATTGCCCCTGAGATCACGGCTGCCCTGAACTGTTCGCTATAGCCTGACATTTAGATTCAAAATTTCAAAATCAATTCAATGTTACAAGTTTAGACTACGGAAAACCAAATTTAACTAATTGCATTATTTTCATATCTACTTTATTCCTTCGGTACATAACGTTACGTTCGTACTCATGCAAACAACTTTTTAGACCGAGAAAATAATTGCAATTATCATGGAATATGATATTATAAACAATTATAATAAAAATATATTTCTAAGGGGTCAATACAAACAGTATTTCGATGTTCGCACGATCATGACTTTAGACCAATTATTTCCGAACGTACACGACAGAATACGGAAGTAAAAGCACAGTCCATCATTTTTTATATATCAATAACGGAGTTTTTTAACGTTATACTTTACAAGAAACACACGCGTTCAAAACACACAACATTTCACGACCAAAGAACGAACAAGAACGGACATGCTAAAGACATAAAGTTACCCTGGCAACATCATATTATTTGATTCCCGTTGTGAACTTAAGTTTGCAAAACTTATCTTTGCGCTTAAATTTACTTTTTTTCAGCGAATAAAACAGCCGAGAAAAGAATTTACGTGATCAGAGGTATAAACAAAATAAACCGAACGTGTTCCAGGTAAACATACAATAACCAGTCTGCTGTACAATTGTACATGCACAATTATATGATTATGATACACATCTAGTTTCTACTGACAGCTGCACTAGGGGGCGATTAACGATACTGACACAAGTACTACATTTGTTACACATGTACGCTCTAGCACCTCCTCAGTACAAACTACCTCAGTCTCGTTGCCAACGACAAAATTTTTTCTATCAAGTTTGTTTCAAACAGAGCTGAACATTCTCATTAATTTACCATAAATTGAGAGGATAAGATATACTGTAAATGTTGTTGTTCAAGCTAATAAAAGAATAAGTATTTCTCCTGCTACCTTTATCAGCAATTTTGGAATTATCTTTTAGCCTACATCACTGGTGTTAGGGTAGGTATATAATTGACTTGAGAGTGCATCAAAATTTAGCGGAAATACCAGTAAAGTCACAGGCTGACTAAAAATTAATATATCAGTTTAGAAATAAATTCGTCATTTTGAGGGTGTAATTTCACAAGGTCTTGCATGAACCGTATCCCTGCTACGCCAGCATGCGAGCCTGGGCTTGGGTTAGTGAGTAAGCCTTGCAGAAGATGAACTGTAATGCACGTTTTTCTTCTAAATTTTCTAATGTTTTAGAGCACAAAACAAACCGACACATCAAGCGTAAGAATGCAATTTAACAATTACCTTAACACTGTTTTAACATTATTGCAAGCTGGACAATTTCTTACGTTGAAATGTGAATTGAAATTGCATGAAAAATTTTAACGAAAATTACAACTTGCAGCACGGTTCCTATACATATACCTGAAAATATTTGTAAAATAATTTAATGACTTCACCAAAAATTCAAAATTTTATTATAGTCTGGCAATTTTTGGTTGTATTATAAAAATTTCACCGTCGTCTCTCACATAAAAAACAACTTCGATGTCATGCCTTTCATTTAAAAGAAATTTCAATGCCATACCTCTTATAATTTAACATTCGGCCTACAATAAAAAATTCAAGACCTATTTCTCATTAGAAATAATTTTGCGTGACTTGCTTCTCATTAAATAACTTGACATTTTACCTTACATAATAAACAGTTTTCTCCTCTCCGACAAGGCCTCACTAAAAAATGTCCACGTCATGACTCTCATTAAAAATAATTTCTTCGTCTCTTGCTCCTGGTTAAAAAACTTGACGCCTTCAAAATAATTTTTTGTATCGCCTAAAAGGCCTCACCCATGAAATTTATGCCTCAAAAGCGAAATAAAAAGTGTGCTACAGTAACGAGTGCTGCATGGTCTGAGGCTGTGGTCGCCATGGGGTCATTGGGTTAGTTTGCTCTTCTTCTCAGTAAATGCCCCCGAGTAGTGAAAAATTTTCAATATAAACATGGTCGTAAAATAAATGGCCTAACTAGCCAAAATTTTATAGTATATAATATTTAATATGATCAATATAAACAAGTTTGGCACGGCTGAGAAGTTGCAAAGGAAAATTATGGAAGCATTTAGAAGATAAGGATTCCTAGAGAGCTTGATTCAGTCCCTAAAAATGTTGATAAGTTGATTCTGAACTTATCGTCCAAATGCGTATTTCAATATATAGTATTGCAGAAAGTTTATTCTACTAGAACCTACACAAAATATTGTTTGATAAGCGATATATTTCTTTTTATAAGGAAAAATGTCAAAAAAAATTATTCGGCAGTTCTGGTCAACTGCTGCAATCCAGAAGTAGTAGAATTGCTCGATCTGACACGTGCAACGAATTTAACAATGTTGTTATTTTATATTATTTATGTCAATGAAAAGATGATCATGTTATCAGATGTTAAATAAATATTAAAATCATGTATAAAAGAAAATCATGTTAAATCATTAGACGATGACGAGAAAATATTGGTTTTCCTTAAGAATATCAATTATCTTACAAAACTGCCATTTGTACGAAATTTGTCTGAAAATACAAACAGAAACCAAAAATATGGACAGAATATAAGTATGAATTATTCCGTCATTCACAAAATGGAATACAAAATTTTTCTTATAAATAGCTAGTGAAAAAATCCTCCCAATAGCACTGAGACAAATGCGTGATATTTTATAGATATACCGATGCACTTTTCGCTCGCGTGTGGGTCACTGTGACATAAATTGGTCCGGTAAGACGGGGTATCAGTGCTACCAACATGCGTCGTTAAGACAGTGTCACAATTTTGACAACGTGATCCATTAATTTTTCTAAGAGGTAATGTACCCATCGCGATGCCTGGTCCTTGCTTCAATATTTTAAGTCTTAAAGCTAGATTATTATTCTTCACTTGAATATTATTAATCTTAAATCTAGCTTATTATCAACGGTGCACTTAGCGCTATGGAAGACTTGCTAGATTTTGTTGCCTCTGGCAAAATCCGTTCGCGGGGAGGCAGGAGCAACGCTCTCAGAACTGCTTATCAGAACCGCTTTTCTGAACCACATTTTAGAACCTCTTTTTAGAACCGCTTTTTAGAACCGCTTTTCAGAACCGCTTTACAGAACCGCTTTTCAAAATCGCTTGTAGAATCGCTTTTTAGAACCGATTTTCAGAACCGACTTATCTTCCGAGGTGGGGCTCAAATTGGATATAAGAATGTTATCTTATGTGTTCATGACCGGGAGATAGTAGATTAGTTTTTCCTGCCAGCCAGACGATATAAATCTACTTTGAATTAAATGTATAAGTTCGTTAAAAGTTTGGTGAAGCCAGTTTATAAAGAATTTAGAAATTTAGCTATTAAGTATTACATCTACAAGGAATGTGGAAGGCCCGTTATTATTGAAATATTTGAAATTGCGAAACATTTAGTAGTGTAGATTTTAGTAATCGAGTTCATGGCAAGTTAAAGTTGAAAACATTGGACTATATTGATGAGGTGAAAAGAATGAGTATTAAATATGTTCAAGTAGTTGCTGTGAA